TAGCCAATGTACTTTTCTTGGTAGGTCCTCCTTCTAGCTTCTTTCTACTTCGGTTTAAAAAGAGAAGAAAAATAAAAAAAAAAAAGAAAAAGAGAAGAAAAAGAAATGGCTAGCCAAGCTGACACATACACATACTTGAGATCACATACATACATATACGCTGATGCTAGAGAATCCAATTAGTTGTATTTCCGCTCGAAAGAGACTCAAGGGGCCTATGCAAATAAATTTACCTCTCTGGTTCTCTGTCTCGTCGTTCCTTCTCTTATACGCTATCAGTACATCTCTTTCTCTCTTTTCTTTCTTTTACTCATTTGTGTCCTCCTCCATCCTTTTTCCTCCCTGTATAATCTTTATGTTCTAGTAAAACATGGGAAGAGTGTTAGATAATATCTCTAAAAAGATGGTAAAAGTTCAATCTCTACAGAGTTTTAATCATAGGGCAAATTGGATTAATTATTTGGTATAGGAGTAACCAGAAATTTAAAATTGGTTTTACAAATTTTTTTACAAATTTATTTAGAATTTTTTAGTTATTAATTTCACAATATTATTTCTTTTTAAATTCCAATATTTGGATAAATGGATCTAAATTGAAGATAGATCAGAGTAATCAAGATTTAGATAAATATTTGGGTAAGTAAAAATAATTTTTGATGGTATATAGTGTAGATCATTTGAAATATCTTGCTGCTTTTTGATAATAAGAAAAAATTTCATTGCATTAATTAATATATTTAGAAATATATGATTTCATTTAAAAAATTAAAATTTGCTTTCACAAGCATCTTACATGTCCACTTTTAAAAAATTAATAAGCATGTAGCATGTGCTCCTCTTGAAATTATTCAACTTTTATCTGAAACATTTTCAAATATTATTAAAAATAAATAGAAGATAAACTTATAATTAAATTAAATGATTTATATGTTTAAATAAATGAAAATTAATAATTGTAAAAAAATAAAACAAAAAAGAATCATAAAGCAAATTTCAAAGGTAAGTATGAAAATGGTAAATATCTCAAATTAATATATAAAATTTAAATTAGAATTTTTATATTCTTAAAAACTAAAAAATTTCACGTGTTTCACTTCAAATTATATTTTGCTGATACAAAGTCAAAATTTGAAACTCGAGCGAAAATTCTTGGAATTGAACAAAATTTTTTAGAATTGGTCAAAAATTCATGGAATTAGAATTCCTGAAAAAATTTCTCAAATGATCTCCTATCAAATTATATTCTCCTAATAAAAAGTCGAAATTTCGGCCAGCAAAAATTTTTAGTCAAAATTTTCGACTTTGTATTAAAAAAATATAATATAAAAAGAGGTAAATATACAAAATTTTTCTCGCCTTTTCCAAATTTAAATTTTTGAACTTCGGTGAAATTTTTTGATTAAATTTAAAAATTTTGTATTAGGAGAATATAATGTATGAAAAGATAAAACGTGAAAATTTTTTGAAATTTAATATACTTATTTATATTATTTATATATTTTATATTTATTTTTATATTTATCTTTCTTATTCTTGTCTTTATACTTATCTTTTTATTTCATCATTTACTAGAATTAAACATTTTTAATTATTTTAACAGATTGAAAAATATATTTATACTTATTTGTTATATTTTTATTTTTTTAGTCTATGTAATATATAAAATATATGTTAAAACACAAAAATATATATGTAAAATGTAACATACAAATGTTACATTACATAACTGTAATATAACATAAATGTAACATACCTGTGTTTAATTATTAATTTTATACGTTTAATTTTCTCAGTAAATTATTTTATTGCCGAAATTAAAACTGAAATTAAAAAATCAGCATGTTCAATATTCTAATATTTTCCAAAATTATTGGATTTAAGCTTGAGAAATTGTGTAAAATTTTTCAGATAATTATACAAATATTGTAAAAGTAAATTATTATAAAAATTATTTAAATACAAATAAATAAATAAAAAATATGATTTTTATTATATGACAATATTTTCATTTAAAATAATAAGCGTAAATCATGAGATGCAATTTATAGCTTGTATAAATTCAATAAACAATATCTGAAAATCAAGAAACGCGCATTGCCCTATCTATTTTTTTTTTAAATTGCAATTTATTTCAAACGTAACACGTATAAACGAACGTTGGCTATCGCTAAATTTTGTTACATACGCGTGTTGCATATATTCCATAATGAAGATAACGAAAAAAATTCGATAAAAACAAAATATAATAATATAAAAGATCATTTTATCGTGAAAATTAAAAAACACAGAATTTCTCACAAAATACACCAAACATCCAATATGCACAAAGTATATATACTTTTACAATCAATACACTTATATATCCTCTAAGAAAGAATTAAAAAAAAAAGCAAATCAAAAAGCAAATTAAGAAATATATATAAATAATTTACATAATATTGTAAATTAACTTACTTAACTTTCACAACATTTACATTATACTGAGAATTTACACATGTTAGAAATTAACCTCATTTAACAATATTTATACCATGAAACATGTATGTGTGAATAAATATGTATCTACACGTATATATCACCATGTAATTAAACAAGGAAAAGAAATTCAATAATGCGACAATTTTAATTGGTGGTCATTGCGGATTTAATTCGAGATTCGCTAATTGGGATCAAATTGCTTCATTCGGTTGTGCAGAAGTGCGAGCACGTGGAAACGTTAACGTATAACACGTTGTAACGTACCGATATCTGGCCATCGTGGCTACCACCTTGGCTTTGCCATGCACAATTAATAACAAACCGAATTCACCGACCCGTTATTAATGTCGTTCGGTATTCTAATCGTAGCCGAAACCTATCAATTCACGGATTAATACTAATTACGCGTAATGGTGAACAAAAGCATCCATTATCGTCCAAGACGATTAATCCTTCTGTTATTGAATATAATTCGTCGAAAAGTGTTTTGCAATTGGTTATTAATGAAATTTTGATTGCTTTGCTTAGTAAATAGGTAATATAAAATTTAGACAGAAGAACAATAAAGTGTTAGGTTAGAATTTTATAACTTCAAAATATTCTTTCATGAAAAATGCATTCTATCGATGCATTGTTTTACAATTGGTTATTAGCTTGCGATGGTTATTAGTGAAATTTTGATTAATTTATTTGGTAAATAAATGATATAAAATTCAGACACGAATAAAATTATTATTATATTATTTTAATATTTAATCTCAAAAAATTTTATCAATGCAATTAAATTGATATTGATATTGCTAAACAAACATTGGATTAGTTCTCAAGATGATAAATCTTATTTTTTTATCGAATATAATTCATCGAAGAATATTTTGCAATTGATTATTAATAAAATTTTAATTGATTTATTTATTAAATAGATGATATAAAATTTAAACACGAATAAAATAATTAAATTAGGTTTTATAACCTCAAAAAATTCCAATGATGCAAATTAAATTAGTATTGATATAAACACGACAAAAGTAATATGTGCTACTGTTTTAATATTTACTATTAAATAAATATATAACGATAAATTCTTCGAATATAATACATTAAAGATTGTTTTGCGACGAATTATGATAATAAATGATATAAAATTTACACATGAGAAAAACGAGACATATTATCTTTATAAAAATTTGAAGTGACAAGTATTGAGGAATTTAATCGAAAGTTAAGTTAGAATTTCATAATTTCAAAATTTTTCTCATAAAAGAATTCTGCAAATTGATGCAAATCAAATTGATATTAATATTTGTAATATTAAGAAGAATAAATTATTCGATTTTTCTAAAAGTTTTATATTTTTTCCATATCAATTCATACATTCGTATAAAAACATGAATATAGATTCAGCGATTAAAAGTGATGGACTTGCAATTTATATTTCAATATTTCTTAAATTTTCTATAGATATTCAAAATATTAATCGTTTACCTCGATACATAACTAAAAAACATTTTAATCAATTTTTTCTATTTCTTGACACGTTATCGATTCACATATAACTGTAATTTTTTTCTCTTATATCCTGCGCTGTGTTGTTGGCTTCGTCGTGATAAACCACATTTTTTTTACTTTAACTCGCGGATAAAAATCTAATAGAGTGAAGGAGACAGGAGGAAGAACTGGCTGGTCATTCCATGGTTTCTTATCGTTTTATCTAAACAACGCCAAAATTCGTTTCACACGTTTTGCAACCTTGGAAAATTTTAATTATCCTTGGATTAAAAAATTCTTAGCGATATAGTTGAATTCTTCTTTCTGCTTTTTTTAAAAACCTAGAAAATAGAAGATATCCTTTTAATATCATTTCTACGAATTATTAAAATTTAATTTCTTATCATTTAATATTTATGTGAATAATCAAGTGTTTTTAATATTAAGTGTTTTAAATTATTAAATTTCTGATTTTAATTTTTTGATAATAAGATTGAAATATAATTGGATAATGAATAATTGTCAAATAATGATCTAATTGAATTTTAAAAATCTTTTGAAGAGAAAATAATACATTTTTACTTTTCTATTAAATGAAAGAATATACGTTGGATATTAACATAAGAATTAAAGAAATGAGAATTTCTAACAATAAGAAAAAAAGAATGGAATTCTTTTTAAAAAGGATGATTGTTGGAAAAATTTCTTTTTTCTCTGGTTAACCTTCTGAATAGTTTATTATAATCTCTCTAAATAAAGGGAATTCTTTGTAAAATTCTTCCATAAATACAGGAAATATTTAAGCGATCTCATTTATTATTATTCATGGTTCACGTTCATTATCATTTTACTTTGAAAATATAACGAGATAATAATTTTTTCGATAAATCGTGAAAAATCATCTCCGTTTCGTCCATTCGATTTTCAAAAAAAAATAATTCTACTTTAAATTATTCTCTAATTTTGAAAACATAATTTCGCAAGAAATTAAAAAGTTTGTCTTCGCCATTTGAAAAAAGTTTAGGTAATTAATGTTAAAAAATTTTAACATTAAAATAAAAACTTCACTGCGTGATACTCGTTAGTGATAACGTTCAAGTGCTTACGTGACTATTCAACAAGAAGTTCTAAATGTGTTTTTCGAATGGCTTCTGCATACTCGATTGCATGCGGAAGGACAATAAACGTTCTAAATTTGATCCTCGCTATTGTCATCAGTGTGGTTAAATATCAGATACTGTTCCTTGAAAAAAATTACTTGTGCTTAAATACATATATGTACATATAATTTATTAATCGATTAAGAAAACTTCTTCGTAAATAAACATTTTTAAATTGATGATAATTTTATAAGAATATATAATTTCATATCAGTGAATAGGTTAGGTGAAAGACCTAATAATAAAGACATTTAATAATAAATAAAATTAAACATAAAATAAAAGATTTTAAAAAATCATCACAATTTACTTACGTAAAATAAGTTTTTGATAATTGTTGATAATTAAATTAAAAATAAAATAAATTAAAAAAAAATAATTACGAAAAATAATCGTATGCGCCGCGATTTATTTACGTAGTATAATTAACCACTCGTATCAAAGAGACAATTAAAATAAAATAAAATCAAAAAGATGATTATTTAAAAAAATCGAATTATATGATTCACGTGATATGATTAATCGAAAGAAGAATTAAATTACCGAAAGCGTGAAAGTTTGGATGGATTAGACCGAGGTTGATTCACACTATTATCTCTCACGTGTAGTGTGTAGTCCTGGAAACACTGTGAGAGTTCGTGAGCATAAATCAAACTACGTGTTCCAATGAGGAATGCGCATTTGCGTTTCATGACACGCAACCGTGCGCTACATGTATATTGTAGCAAAATTATGACTATACGATTACATACGGTGCGCGTACACAGGATCGAAGATACTCGACTTTATATGTTGTTATCCGAATATCGTGCGTTTCATGCGTGTTCTCCATTGTTATTCTGAATCTCTATCGCGCGATAAATTCTAAAATTCTTTCTTTTCCTATTTTCGGGATATAGGAAAATATTTGATCTTATGATACATGTTTTAGCGTATTGTTTTATTTTTTATTTATTTATTTATTTATTTTTTTTTTTTTTTTACTTTATCTTAACTCATTCTTCACTCGTGAATTTTTTTTGAATAAAATTAAAATTCTCATTAGTAGATATATCGAGATAATTGAGATATTTATTTTTCAATGGAATTCATTCTCATGATTGATCGAAATATCGACACGTTTATGGCAGACAGGGCGACTTGTGATCCCTACCTAATTAGCGAAGGGATGAATTCCTCGAAGGCAATCAATGATAAATCAATTGCCGTTTATCTGATCGTCTACGTGTTTAATATTAATTTCGGCAGCGGATCATCATTTAAAATTAACGATATAACAGTTGCTATTTAATAATGTAATCAACACGTGTAGATTTGGATCGAAAACTTCGTTCCTTCGAAATTGAAAATGCTTGGTGCGTTCTTTGCTCACATTTACAGTAACTGATTTTTAATTTTTAATACCATATACTAGACATGTCGTCGGTACGATAAATATTAAAAATTTCATAGGGGAAGGGCGAAGCGAATTGAAAGGATAATTGAATATTTTTTAATTACACATATTTTTCTTTTTTTTCCTAATTTCATCGAAAATTATTCGATCATAATGCATTATGGATGGAAATCGTATAAAATTTATCATTGGTGGTGAAAATGAGCTTGACATTGATGTTAAAAATTCAGAGGGATTAATATTAACAAATTTTAAAATTGGAATTTTAACCGAGGCGAAACAGTTTCGTACAATACAATCTCGTTAATATTTTACGAATGTGTGCAATATCGAAGTTGCTAATTAATTTAATTTAATTAATTATCTTAATCGATTGCTAGCTTGCTTCATTTATCGAATATTACAAAAGATGAGCATATAACATATATACGTGTCATATTCGTGTTATATTATTATTCCAACAAAAATAAATATAAAATTACACAATATAATTGTGTAAACAAATTGTACAAAGTGTTTTAACTTTTCAGTTTGATTCAATTATCACGATCTTTGATCCATAGAACGGAGGCTAAAAAATAAATCTGATCAAAAGAATGAACGAGATAAAATAAATACGATAATAATTTTCTTATAAATAAAGGTATAGAAATATATATAAAAAATTAAAGAAAACTATTAAAATTTCGTATGTCTAATGAATTTTAAATATTATTATTCGAAGGATACGAAAATGAGACTTTTGACACTCGAAATAATTTTCTTTCGAAGAAAAGAAAAGAAATGTAAAATTTTCAGTTTTCGACCGATCATGTTCGAAAAAGACAAGATTTACGATTACAAATTTTCCGAAGAGATCGAGAAAAAGGTTCGTACTTTTCCTTACGACTATCAATCAATTTATAATGTGTAATACACAATTTATAACATTCTTGTGTTGGAATGAATAAGCGGATAAAAAAGATGGCGAAGGAACGAATAAATCTCGAAAGGAAAAGGTAGAAACGTGAAAGAGTGAACATTTTTCCAATGCATCGATTGCATTTGCTTTAATCTCTCTCTCTCTCTCTCTCTCTC